GAAATGCAGACTCTCACCAAGGTCACCAAATTGCAATAAGATCCCCAGGTAGTCTGCAGACACCTTCAGAAGAAAGTTTGAGAGATGCCGGCTTAAAGACTTTGTCCTCCAACCTCTCAATTTGTATTAGTTTGCTAGGGCTGCCATAATAAAATGCCACAGACTGGCTGGCTTAAACAACAGAAAATTACTTTTTTGTAGTTCTAGAGACTGGAAGTCTGAGATCAGGGTGTCGGCAGAGTTGTTTCTTCCTGATTCCTCTCTCCGTGGTTCACAGATGGTCATCTCTCTATGCGTACCTGCCCCTGGTGTCTCTCTGTGAGTTCTGATGTCCTCTTCTTATGAGGACACTGGTCAGATTGGATTAGGACCCACCCTAACGGCCTCATTTTAATTTAACCACCTCTTTAAAGACCTTATCTCCAAATATGGTTACATTCTGAGATACTGGGGATTAGGACTTCAATGTATGGATTTGAGGGACAGAAGTCAGTCCATAATAGCACTTTAAAGAAGAAGCAACTGAGGCTCAAAGAAGTATGTTATGGTCCAGAGTCACACCACAGGCCAAGGGATGAGAGTTTCATCTCTCAGCAGGGCCCTTGTTGGCAGCAGTAACGCGTGACAGTGCATGAGAGGCTGGGGAAAAGGAGTCTGATATTTGCATTGAAGTTTCAGCTTTGTTTCCACTACTGGGAACTTGGATGCACACCCTAACCTCCCCAGGCCTCACTTTCCTTTTCTGCAAAATGAGGACAATGAAAGTTTCTTCCTCTCAAGGAGGCTGTGAAGGTTTAATGAGATTTGGACAGGAAATGCAGAGTCTGTATTAACAGTGCCTGCCTGCCTCCCCGCCCCCCTCTGCCTCTTCTCTTTTCCTGTTATAAAAATCAACTCTTATTTACTGCTGGCCAGAAATGCCCAATTATTTTCCCCAGGTGATTTGCAGTTTAATAGCTAGAAATACCAAAGGTTTAAAATTGTCACGGTGGAATTTCAGGCACCAGCTAGCAGGTGCGCAGGGAGGTCATGCAAGGGATCCTTCCCGGATGCTGAGCCCATAGCAGGTGCTAAAAGGAAAAACTCGCTGCTGTGCCCTTCCACCCTGAGTGCCTGGGGGTTCTCATTTGTAAATAATAGGCTGCCCACAATTTGATTTCATTTCACTCTAAGTTGCCCAGCCTGCCACAAAGGATGCAAGGTAGAGTCCTACAAATCAATTCCGCTGTGCAAATGAGCAGGTGCCTGCCTAAATAATAGGCTGCCCACAATTTGATTTCATTTCACTCTAAGTTGCCCAGCCTGCCACAAGGGATGCAAGGTAGAGTCCTACAAATCAATTCCGCTGTGCAAATGAGCAGGTGCCTGATTACTTGGGGATGCTTAGAAATGAGGTCGAGCTGCACAGTGTTGAGGCAAAGCTTGTAATTTGCCTTTGGGGTCAAACTGGGTTTGGAATATAAAATTGTTTTCAAATGTTTAATTTGTCGTTTAGATGTATGGAACATGTGTTCCGTAAAGATCTACTCGTTGCAAATCACTTTGCTAAGGCTAGAGTGGGAAGATGGAAAGAACTCATCTCCTTTCCTGTGCTCAGAGCAGCTCAGAACAGGAGCACACCTGAGAACTAGCCATGTGGTCCAGTAGACAGAGCTTTAAGGTGGGGAGGGCAGGGGCAGGTCAATCTTCTTATGCCAGGTTGGAACATCACTGTCCTGGGATAGAGGGACTCCTTTTCCTTTATTTGTCCTTTATCCATCTGTCATAATTTTGGAGGGGTTGCTTTAAATCCTGCCCCTATTTATAGCATGATTAACGTTGGGCTTCCCATCCATGTCTAGGGTAAAAATAGCAGGTCAGATGGAGGCAGGTTCTTTTAATCTGGGCCTACCCCTGGCGTTGGTGGCAAAATATCCTTCCCAAGTCTGGGGCCAGATTCCCAAATGTGGTCAGGTTATCCAGTTTATGGATTTTCCAGCACCTCTGTTCCTGTCTGGCTTTTGACTATGTCAGTCCCCCACTTTTGCCCACCAGAATGCCAGGATCCAAAGACAGAAGGAGAGTAGTCATATCCTGTGTCACCCTGGGCAAACGTGAGTGGTCTCTTCCTCCAGTGCCCATCCAGCCATTGCCCACTGTGGCTGCCACTGTGTTTGGTCTGCCCTGCAGCTGCGCCCTGCCTCCTCCCTGTGGGCCACACACCGTCACATGCCCAGAGCTCTGTGAAGTTTCTTCTCTCACCTGCCCCTTGTCACAAGATCTCCTGCTACACAGGACCTGCTAAATTAATTCATATGAAGGACTGAATAGTTAGTAGTAATCGCTCCTTTCTAGAGTCTGCAATTTTAACAAGCAGCCAGTGCTTTAATTAATTTTTTAAAAAATTAAAAAGAAAAATTGAAACTTGAAAGATAGAATGATGGACACAGTGAGAGGCTCCAGGGGGCCAGATTTTTGCAGGACCTCTTTCCAAAAGCCCACCCAGCACGCGCCTCCTCCCGCTTTGGTGGACCAGAGGCTGAAGGCTGTGGGCTCATTCGTCTCCTTGTTGTCAGCCCTGGTGGGGTGGGAATCTGCAAGGCAAGATCCCGCTGCCCATTATAGGAATCGGTCCACCATAAACTGGGGATGTCAGCAGAATTGAATGGTGAATCAAAAACTGGAACAAATCGCTTTAATTACCTAAGACCCAAACCTAATTCAAATAGTATTTCTTCATTCGACCATGAACCAACTTCATTTCCCTCTTCCTGCCTCGTTGACCAGTTTTAGCCAGAATTGAACTAAGAGTTCTCTAAAACTTGGAGCCACTGCTGGAAGGGAACATTCTGACCATCCAGCTAGCTAACTCTCCCATTTTACAGGTAAGGACACTGAGGCACTGAGAGCTGTGGCCCAGCTCAAGGTCACACGGCACCTCAGGGACCTGGATTTGACTCTTTACTCCGGTATCCACTCACTTTCTCCGAAGTTCCATAGGATCTCTTGACTTGGAACCTCGAAAGATAGCATGAGCTGTGTTAGATACTACATTATTTTTTAATGCAGAACTTCTCTTACCCGAGAAGTTGGTAACCCAAATGAGAGATGTGTGGTTAGATTGGAATTCTACCAGCCTTCTGTTCCTCGCACAGTCCTAGAAAACCATGGGGGAAGCTTTAAAATTGATTGTGACCTGATTCATATTGTGATCGCTAACAGTGATTGTTATTATTTGCCTCAATGACCTACTCACTTATAATTCACTGCTCAAAGGTTATAACAACATTCATTTAAATCAGTCGTTCTTAACTGGAGGAGATTTTGCCCCCTGGGGACATTTGGCAACATCTGGAGACATTTTTGGTTGTCACAACCTGGGGGAAGGGTGCAGACCCGGTGTGGGCTACTGGCATCTGGTAGGTAGAGGCCATGGGTGCTGCTAAACCATGCACAGGCCAGCCCCTCACAGCCGAGAATTATCCGGCCCAACGTGTGAACAGTGTCAGGATTGACTGGTCTAAATCAACACAAAGGGAAAAAATATCTCCTTCAATCCTACTACTTCGACAAATTAAATTCTTCACTCTTCTATATTCCTGCCAGTCTCGGCCCCACCATGTGAACTTAAATTTCTATAGTGCTTATCATCATGGTGGGAACACAGTTTACATTTCTCTTTTCTTCAGTTAATATTGCATCCTGAGCTCCTGTCCCTCTGGCCTCATTGTCTTCTCGGTTACCATTGTTAATGGATAATATAATACCCCAGGGAGGTTGACAACCCCTACTTTAGCTGATCGATCCGAGTGTTTCATTGAGGGTATTTGGGGGAGGCTTGCTGAGTGGGCTGTGTGGGGTGGGGGTGGTTTGTGCGGGCTCTGCTACAAGCAGGCCAGCCTCCTCCTCTTCTTGCTGCCCAGGCATCAGCATCATGGTCCTCATCATCAAAAGGCCTTTATGAAGTGCCTTGGTGAATATATCCTGGCACTGGGGAGACCTTCTGCAGAGATTTTCCCACCAGCCCCTGACATCTGGGGCTTGCCGGCTCAGACAGACAGCACATATGTCAGCCAACCACAAAGGCGTCCAAAGACCGGGCTGTAGGCCCCAGGCAGAGGGTGCGAAAACGGGTTCTTAGGCAATATCCATGCCAAGAGTAAGTGCGTCCGGAAATGCAGAGATAGGCTGGGTCCCAGAGGGAGCCTGGCCCTTGAATTCTCTCCTCCAGCTGGCTGGGGTCTTCTTGGAGGAGCCGCTTGACAGACCAAGGACTTGGGGGTCAAGTGTTCTGGGATCACAGCGCACCGCCTGGGAGAAAACTCGATCCTGCCGGAGATATTCCTCCTGAGACCTTCGTGCCACCCTCTTGTCTCACCTGAGTGCCCATTTTTCTTCCCTCTGCAGGTATTCCATGAGCAGGGCATCCTCTTTGGCTACCGGCACCCACAGAGTTCTGCCACTGCCTGTATCCTCAGCCTTTTTCAAATGACCAATGAGACCCTCAACATCTGGACTCACTTGCTGCCCTTCTGGTACCTTCCAGCTCCCTTGATCAGCCCATCTGATTCAGGAGCCCTGGGCACCAGGGCTTCTTTAAAACACAGCTAGGGTTGGGAGGGCTGAGATTCTGTGCTGGGACTTGGGGATCCCCCATGGGTGCATGGGTGTGAGGCGAGTGTGTGGTTGAGGCGGGGAGATGTTGGATCTGCCACGGGGATGAGCTTTAGGGCATGGATTGTGGTGGGATTTGAGGAGCTCCCAACTGCTCCCCTAGGCTTCCCTGCTCCCCTGCTCCAGTGCCTGATTTGATAGCATTTAGCTTTATCTCCTTCAGTCTTGGAGGCTTTCTGAGTCCAGAAGCTCTGGTTAAAATGTCACTGACTTGAGTGAGTCACTTAACCTCTCTGAGCTTCACATCATCCCACCTGCAAAGCTGGCAATAGTGGGCACCTTTCCTAGGGTTGCTGTGAGGATGTGGGGAGAAGACATTGGTAAAGGCACTGGGCACAGAGTTGTGGGTGCTTCAAAATCATCCTGGGAACCACAGGTCTGGGAGGTACTTGGTCAGGCAGCACTTTAACAGAGTCAGCTAAGAGTAAGGCTCTGGGACGTGTGTGTGCAGAAATGGCAGTGGCCAGGAAGGCAAAGGGGGGCCTTGCTGAGAAAGGGGAGCACTGATGACCAACTTCACACACTTCATGCCTTTACTTAACGAGGCCTTGCTGAGAAAGGGGAGCACTGATGACCAACTTCACACACTTCATGCCTTTACTTAACGAGTGGAGACAGGGTCAAAACATCAAACCACAGTGTATCACAGCTGGAAGGACTCAGAGGTCATCCAGGCCACTGTCCCACTCAGACCACCACTGGCTGACATAGACACAGCCCAGAGATGGGGTGGCTTCCTTACATCACACAGCAGAGCTGTGGTACAGGCCAGTCTCTGGACACCCTTCCAATCATGTCAAGAAGCCAAGAGCGTAGCAGGGATCCCAGAGTGTGCTGCCAGTGGAGATGGGCCCGAGGAAGGCCCCCGTGCCCCTGCATAGGAGCAGCTAGCCTGATGGAAGCCAGTAGACAGACCCAGGGCCAAAATGCAGGGAAGGATGTTTGGTTCCACACCACCCCAGTGGAGAAGGGAGCCCCGTGTTGGGGTGGAGTGAGGTGACCTGTAAGAAAACGTGACAGCCTGGGGCCTGCAGACTGGGCAAGGGCGGCAGCAACCACCTGCTTGAGGAGGCTGTTTGCTGTTTTAGATTTTTACTTAAGTAAAAAGTATGCATGCTAATAAATGATAACATTGCAGAGGGACTAGAGTCTGTCTCTTCCCCGGACCCTAGTTTTCCTCCCTGAGCTCATCTGGGGATGTGTGAGCATCTGTGACAGGTGTGTGTCCCCAGCCCCTGCTTCCTTTCTTCCACTGCTATCTCCTTGCTTTTCTCCCTCAGAGATCTCACTCTGTCAGGAGCTACAAGTCTCTTGGGCATTTGAACAACTGCCTGGTGTTCCATTTTATGGTTGAACCACAATTGATTTAGGCTGTTTTAGGATTTGTGCCACTATAAAGAGTGCTGCACTGTCCATTCTTGTTTGTGGGCGCTCTGTGCAAGGATCCCTGCTGGATGACTTTTTAGCTATTTGACAGCTGAGCCAAGCTGGCTGAACCCCTGCCCCCCACTGCCTACGGCTCCCCTGCACCATGCCAGGCTCTCAGAGACTATCTGGATTGAGCAACGCAGAGTGGTAGGAAGGGCTTGGGAGAGCCCAAATCAAAACTCCTTAAGGAAACAAGGACTACTGAGGAATCTCCAGACGACAAAAGGATCGTTTTAATGAACAGCAGATAGCTGAAGCTTTACTTCTACTGGGACAGCAGGGGAAAAGACCACAAATGTAGCCAGAAAGATTTAGCAGCATCCCTTCAGGAGAAGCTTTGTAGCGTGTCCCCTCTTTGGATGAGTTAGTAGGAAAGGGAGCCAGCTCTCAAGGAGCCGTTTGTGGAGGCAAGGTGGTCTGTCGGCAGGACCCCACACGGGGGGTATAGGTCAGACAGATCTGACCCAAAACTGTGCAGTGTCTCTGTGTAGGGTTGGCTGAGAGTCAGCGATGGGACGTGATTGCAATCTCAGTGGAGGAAGAGTGTGGAAGAAGAGGGAGAAAACAGTCCTCTTGTCCTCTGGACTTTCAAGTCTCCCCCTGGGGGATTGCTTCTGTTTGAGGAGCCTTCCTACAAGAGGAACAGAGACAAACTAGAGGGGACAAAGACAAACCACGGGGAGGGTGATGGCACCAAATTTGGATCCTGAAATGAATGGCTGAATGAACTAGGGTTATTTAATGTGAAGTTCAAGGAGGTAGGAGGGGAAGAAGACTGCCTTAAATGATTTGATGGGCTTGTTTTCTATGATCCTGATGGGGAGAACTAGGGTCAATTAAATGCAGATAGATTCCAAGGAGACAGATTTGAGCTCAGTGAAGGAGAACTTTCCAGCACTCTGAGCTGCCTTGGTAGGTGGTGAACCCCCGTCCTTGGAAGCATGCAAGCTAAGGCTGGAGAATCACCTGGGCAAGGTGCTGTAAGAGGGATTCCATCACCACAGCGAGGGAGGGGATGGGACTAGATAAACCTAAAGGCTCTCTTCTTACCCCACCTGCCCAAACCCAACTTACTGCCTCCCCAGCAAAAAAAGACACCCCCCCTCCCCTGCACATGGCTTTTCACCAAAGTGAGAAGACACAGGGATCGGGCATCCCAGGAGAATGGAAGGCAGAGACAGGTGAAGAGTGTTAGAGGAGCCCCCACCCCAGGGGTTGAGTGGGCCATGCTGTGTTCTAGGTTCTTTGTGTGGAGGTTTGGGACTGCACTGTATGTGACGGACATCCAGAGTGACAGCTACTCCTGGCCTATGCTTGTGTACATGTGCACCAGCTGCGTGTACCCCCTCGTGTCCAGCTGTGCCCACACCTTCAGCTCTATGTCCACGAATGCCCGGCACATCTGCTACTTCCTGGACTATGGCGCTGTCAACCTCTTCAGCCTGGGTACGTGAGGCCCTGCTCTTGCCTTCCCACCCTGTGACTGAGATACTTGTCCCTTTCCCTCCGAGCTGGGGTCACCATGGGGCTTTGATGAGTTTGCAGAAGAGTCATGGGAATGCCAGTGTCCCGTCCAGGTTCCTGATGAGTGTTTTGTAGGAAGCTTGTCCGCAGACGTGCTGGTAAATATTAGCAACTGGCTCTCTGGGGACAACAGCTCTGATCTGTAGTGTCTGCCGATTTCTGTGGTATAAATGCCCCAGTGTGGCCACCTTGAAGCTGCTAGCGTGACACCACTGAACGCAGAGGTGGGCTATGGAGTAGCACAGTTACGTAGTAATTCCACTTTACAGACACAGTGACATATTCAGTGAGAACTTAGCATTCTTGTTAGTGTGATTTATGTAATTGTGAGTTTATGTAACTTCACTTTTAATGACAGTGGTGTTTAGCAATTGGCTTGCAAGGTCCCCTCTCCCAGCCTGGGATGGGTCAATTCCAGCACACACCAGCTGGAGAAGGAGGATGGGGTCACAAACCTCCTTTGTCCGGGAGCTTAGAGCAGTCAGAGATTTGCTCAAAGTGCCACAGGGACAGAGCGGCAAACCCGGAGCTGGTGAAGTTGGATGTTGACATCCCCGCCCTGCTTGTCTTTTTCATTGACTGTGGTGCCCCTCCTCCCGCCTCCTCTTCTCTCCCACTTATGGGCATCCAGCCATCCCTGTCGACCCTACTTCTAGCCTCTTCCTCGCTCCAGTCCCGCTCTTGGTGTGAAAGCCAGTCCTTGTCTTCCCTGGCACAGGAGGCTGTCCACGAGGGGTCCACCTCCAGCCTCTTTCCTCTCTCCCTTCCTTCACAAGCCAAGTGCACAGTCCCCACCGCCCACTCCTGTGCTCTGCTATTCAGTCCCCCCGTTCACTGAAACTGGCTGCTGCAGCCCCAACCTCCCCTGCCAGCTTTGGCACGGCCCCCCAGCCCCCTCTTTCTCTGTTGCTTTGCTTCCCTCCCTCCCAGTCCTCCCATCCCGCACATTCATGAGTCTCTGCTGGTTCCCCTTCCTCTGCCTCCTTCACAGATGGGGGGCAGGAGGGTGGTCAGAATCAGTCCTTGGGCCTCTTCTCTTACCTGTCTAGCTCCTGGGTGATCTCCATGCCCACACCATCCCCCAATGCCTCTGGTCAGTGTCTCCCCCCCCGCCCCTGGCTTAAACACTCACCTGAGGTCCAGGCCACTATTGAGCCGGAGGCCCCCACCTCTGCTTCCCTTCTGTAATGTCCCACCTGGCTAGTGGTGCCACTCCTACTCATCCTCCCAAGTCAGAAATCTGTAAACAAGCCTCAAGTCCCCCTCCGCCCACCCCCACGCCCGCCCACCTGTCTGATCGTAATCTGTTACCAGGTTCAGGGCGCATCTCTCCCAGCAGTTCCTCAAACCCTCTGGACTTGGCTCAGCCCCGCGCCTCTCCCCTGCCCTCTTCCTCCTCGCTGCCCCGCCCCGCCCCGCAGTTCAGTTCCTCTGGCAGCCCCCAGGAGGTTTGCAACACCTCCTACCATGCCACCCTCCCACTTAACACCTTTCAGGGTCCCTCATACCCTGGGGTGAATTCCAAACTCCTCAGCGGGGGGGCTTGCATGGCCCTCACTCGCCTGCCACAGACATGTTTATGATGAGAGCAAGGTTTTGGGGGGACCGCCACACCTGACCCCCATCCCTGAGGAGCAGCATGAGGCGGTGCCTAAGGTCTGGAGCCCACCGCCGCCACCCCAGCAGTTCTGTGCTCCTGTGCAAGTGTCCTAACCTCTCTAAGCCTCAGCTCTGTTGCCGGTGGACTCGGCATGACACCTTCCTCATAGGAGTGTTATGATGACTGAATGTTTTTTAAGTGAAGCCCCTAGGATGGTGCCTGGCATTTAGTCAGCATCAGAGGGTAGCCATCACCATGATCCCCTCGTCAAGCCTGACGGCAACCCCCTGAGGGGTACTGTTATCACCCCGTGCTGCAGGTGAGGATGACGAAGGTGGGTTACCCAGGCTCACACAGCTTGTAAAGGATAGAGCCAGGGGTAGGTGGCCAGGCACCACCGTGCACTGCCTTCCTCCATCGCCCGGCTCACTGTCTGTCAGTGTAAGAGTTCTCCTTGCCACTAGGGTCTCCTTTCTCTGTACCCTCACATATGCCATTCCCCAGAACGCCCTCTTCCCTTCCCTTCAGGGTCTTCAAGGCTCCGCCCTGGGAGGGTGGGGGGCTGCCCTGTGACCTTCCTCCCAGCCCCTAGGCTGGGGTCTGCCTCCATCATAGCTCTGATCCCCAGTCTGGTCCTGTTCCTTCATTCCTACTCCTCCTGGGAGCTACTCCCTGAGGACAGGAGGCATGTCTTTTATGCTTGGTGTTCTAGCCCTGGCCCAGTGCTGGGCGTGGGGAAGTGCTCAGCAGACATGGAAGGAGGGTGCAGTCAGTCGCGGAGCCTATTGATTTTTCTCCGGCTCCCACTCCACCTGTGCAGCTGCCCTCACGTCCCCATTCTCCTTCCTCCCTCAGTCCCTTGCGTGTGGCATTTGCCCCAGCTGTCCCTCCCTCAAGGCCATCTTGTGCACTCTCACTAGGTTTTTGGTCCTACTCAAAAACCTTCAGTGACTCCCTACTGCCTGAGGAGGAAGTTCACTTTCCTTGGCCTGGCACCCAGAGCTGAGTCTGCTCCTGTTCATGGAAAGTCCTGCCTCCCGCAGGCACCTGTCAGGATCCCCACCGACTCTCCAGGCTGTTCCAGCGCTGGCATCTTTGCCTGATCTGATGCTCCATCTAGCCTGAACACCCACCTCGCACTGGGACCCCTTTGAGGCTCCCATGCATTTTGCTTTGCGCTGACGTTTTGGGCAGGGGTGAGGCTCCCTCACGGTGTGTGGCCCATGGAGCTTGGCGTGCACCTTGACCGTGACCAGCATCTGCTGAGTGAATGCACCCTGGTCCAGGTGGGAGCCTCCTCATAGCATCAGGCCTGGAGAAGGGCTTGTCTGTCCCCCAGGAGGCAGTTCCACGTGGAGTGGAAGCATGGTGCCAGGAGAGAGATTCTTGGCCCTTTTTGCCCGTATGACCAGCCTCACTAGATCCATCTTCCAAATAGGGTAAAAGGCAGAGGTTGAACCTGTGCGGCCGAGCTCGGCCTGTTTCAGCCTTGAGCTAGGATTCAAGTTTCTCCATGTCTTTGGAATAACAGGTGACCTTAGGTATGACCTCTCAGGCCCTAGGCTGACAAGCTGCCTATCCCAGGGTGGGCCTCAGTAGGTGAGGGTGCAGGTCTAAGCCCCTCTCTCCTGCCTCTTTGAAAAGGACAGTGATCTCCCCTGTTCTTCCAAATAAAAACCTCAGCAAACCGGTGTCTAGAAAGTTCTTAGATAACCCTTCTCTCGCAAACTCCAAAACCTAAAATGTAAAATACATGGCCAACCTCTTAGACCCAGCCTCTCAGCTGGCCTGTCCCCCAGCCATTGATAAGATATGCCTTGCCTTAACGAGGGCCCTCCCTCCAACACTGATCTTTCCACAAGGAGCATCACCATCACTGGGCAGGTGAGATGTGTACACTCTTAAGAGTAAAGCTGAGCGCACAGGGGCTGTCATTGTGGCAATAGCATGTTGTTAAATGCAGGGACTTTGTTGCTAAACTCCCTGGGTTTGAAGCTTGGCTTTGCTACTTTCTAGCTATGTGACCTTGGGTGAGTTACTAAAACTCTGTGCCTCTGTTTCCACATCTGTAAAATGGGGATAAGTGCGAGGGTTATGTGAGTTAATATGCATAAGGCGCTGGACCAATGCTGGGCTCACAGTAAATTCCCAGGATAGGATTTGGGTGGGTGGAGAGGAGAGGTACATTCTGGGGGTGGGGGTAATGGCACAAGAAGGGTGTGGAGGCAGGACTGTCCGTGGGTCTGTGGGGATGATGGGAGCTAAGCTGGATGCTGGGGACAGGTTTCCCAAGGGGTCCATACGGTGCTAAGGCCTGGCCTCTTTCCCAAGGCTGGTTTTTCTTCCCCAGGCGTAGCCATTGCCTACTCTGCATATACGTTTCCGGACGCGCTGGTGTGCACCACCTTCCATGACTACTATGTGAGCCTGGCCGTGCTGAACACCATCCTCAGCACCGGCCTCTCCTGCTACTCCAGGTACCTGCCGCTGTGACCTCAGATAGGAGTGGGAGGGAGGGCCTCGCACACAGCTCCATGGGTTGTTGCGGGGAACAAGGTAAGAGGCGGGCTTGGTGGAAAGGGCGCTGGGAGCCTGGCACTCCGTTCCAGGTGGACTTCTGTTTCTGGGCGGGACGGGTCTTATGGCTGTGCTGCCTTCATGATGGCTCAGGGCTTCGTGCTCAGAAGAGCCCCACCCCTGGTNGAATAACAGGTGACCTTAGGTATGACCTCTCAGGCCCTAGGCTGACAAGCTGCCTATCCCAGGGTGGGCCTCAGTAGGTGAGGGTGCAGGTCTAAGCCCCTCTCTCCTGCCTCTTTGAAAAGGACAGTGATCTCCCCTGTTCTTCCAAATAAAAACCTCAGCAAACCGGTGTCTAGAAAGTTCTTAGATAACCCTTCTCTCGCAAACTCCAAAACCTAAAATGTAAAATACATGGCCAACCTCTTAGACCCAGCCTCTCAGCTGGCCTGTCCCCCAGCCATTGATAAGATATGCCTTGCCTTAACGAGGGCCCTCCCTCCAACACTGATCTTTCCACAAGGAGCATCACCATCACTGGGCAGGTGAGATGTGTACACTCTTAAGAGTAAAGCTGAGCGCACAGGGGCTGTCATTGTGGCAATAGCATGTTGTTAAATGCAGGGACTTTGTTGCTAAACTCCCTGGGTTTGAAGCTTGGCTTTGCTACTTTCTAGCTATGTGACCTTGGGTGAGTTACTAAAACTCTGTGCCTCTGTTTCCACATCTGTAAAATGGGGATAAGTGCGAGGGTTATGTGAGTTAATATGCATAAGGCGCTGGACCAATGCTGGGCTCACAGTAAATTCCCAGGATAGGATTTGGGTGGGTGGAGAGGAGAGGTACATTCTGGGGGTGGGGGTAATGGCACAAGAAGGGTGTGGAGGCAGGACTGTCCGTGGGTCTGTGGGGATGATGGGAGCTAAGCTGGATGCTGGGGACAGGTTTCCCAAGGGGTCCATACGGTGCTAAGGCCTGGCCTCTTTCCCAAGGCTGGTTTTTCTTCCCCAGGCGTAGCCATTGCCTACTCTGCATATACGTTTCCGGACGCGCTGGTGTGCACCACCTTCCATGACTACTATGTGAGCTCTTTCCCAAGGCTGGTTTTTCTTCCCCAGGCGTAGCCATTGCCTACTCTGCATATACGTTCCCGGACGCGCTGGTGTGCACCACCTTCCATGACTACTATGTGACCCTGGCCGTGCTGAACACCATCCTCAGCACCGGCCTCTCCTGCTACTCCAGGTACCTGCCGCTGTGACCTCAGATAGGAGTGGGAGGGAGGGCCTCGCACACAGCTCCATGGGTTGTTGCGGGGAACAAGGTAAGAGGCGGGCTTGGTGGAAAGGGCGCTGGGAGCCTGGCACTCCGTTCCAGGTGGACTTCTGTTTCTGGGCGGGACGGGTCTTATGGCTGTGCTGCCTTCATGATGGCTCAGGGCTTCGTGCTCAGAAGAGCCCCACCCCTGGTTTAAGACTCTGCTTCTTGAAATTCTTAATAATTTTTGAACAAGGGAGTCCTACACTTTGATTTTGTACCGGGCCCTACAAATTATGTAGCTGGTTCTGTTGCTGGGCATCCCACATCCTCCTTGCTACTTATCCAAAACTTCAGTTTGCTCGTCTGTGAACTGGGGCCAATACATCTACCTTCTGAGACAGAGGTAAAGGTTACAGGTAACGTACCCAGAGCGTCTAGCCCAAGCCTGGCACAGAGGAGGTGCCCCATAAATAGGCCTCTAGGTGTGTGTGATGGATGACGGATGGTATTTAAATGTCCAGCACATCGCCACGGCCATGACTCACACCCAGTGTAGTGTCTCTGATTCCTGCTTTTTTTTTTTTTACTTTCGCTCAAGAAAACTCATTGGAGTGTGAGTGCAGCGGGCATTGTTATGGGGATGACTACACTAGTTTATTCTGCTCTTTGTAAAAGTGAACTGCCTGAAAGCTCTGGTTCCCTAAATTACTTAGGAAACCTCCCAAATGGTTGTGCTGGGGTGACAGCCTGTGTGGATAGTACCAAGGTGCTGGGTGTTTTCCGGGCTGGGGATCTTCAGTGGCAGCCGCCCCGGCAGTCTGTGCCCCCTCCCGCCATCCCCCAGTTCCAGTGAGCTAGTTTAAGTCGAGCTGCTGAGGACCACGGAGCCCTCCACTCTCCCCAACCCCCCAGCAAAAGACGGGGAGGGTGAGACATGCCCCTGTAACTTCTCCAGAATGATTTTGGCTCCAGCTTCCTTCTTATAAAAACTTAGGTTTTGTGGAACTCAGGGAGAGTAGATAAGTTTCACATGCTTGAGAAACTGGTTTTTAAAAAAGTATTAGGATAGATTCTTCAACAGCAAGCAGCAGGAATACTTGGCCCAACTTGCTTTCCATTTACCCGTCCCAAGACAGGTTGGGCACGTGGAATTGCTTTCCATGGGAGTGAGAGTCTCCTTTCTAGGTGCAGTCTCAACCCAGGGTTTTGTGTGGTTTCATTCCTTGGAAGTTCCTGAGGATGGGATTTGGGGGGTTGGGGGGACTGTCTCTTCCCTCCTGGAAATCACAGAGTTCCCCTAAAGCTGTGAGGAGATAGGGTCCACCCACAGGGGCAAAAATAAAATCAGACGTCATGGGGTTATTACTTCTTTCTCCCCTAACACTTCAGGGACTCTGGCAATTAAAAGCTCTTTATTAAGTGCAGCCTCTGTGCCAGGTTGGGAGCTGTGAGGACTGTGCAGATAATGGACAGAGGAGACTGGGCCCCTGCCTTGGGTAAGACAAGGCGTAACACACATAGAAAAGTGATAATGATGCTAAAAACAGCCCAGAAGAGAGGATGCGTGCCTTGGAGGCACTGTGCTTGATGTGTGGACAGGCCCTGGTCCAGGAACCTGGA